AACCTATTGCAATAAAACGGCAATTTCATACTTTAACCCCTAATATCAACAATCATTATCTTGGAAATCGGCGTTCGAAATTCGAGTATTTAGACTTCCTCTATAATTGTAAGTCAATGATTTCCTCCTAGCATCGTGATTCAGTTTTTTTATTTATTTTGTTTACCAACAGCTATTACATTGACACTTATTTACTATATACCTTGATTCGTGTTTTTAAATTTAATACACAGCTAATCACAGGTAAACACCTCATGCAAAAATGGCAAAGAAATCTTTTCAACTTAACTATATATTATTATTACAAACAAATAACTTAATCTACGTGTACCTATACAACAAAATGCTATTTTATTATTAGTATTTTTCAAAAACAAAGGCAACAATCTCCATGTACATCCAAATATACTCACTAATATAAATAGTGAATATAGGTAAGTCAAAAATTCTGTATAAGGGTGGGTTCGTACCGTATGTACTTTATATGTAGTACTAAGTAAATACTTGTAGTTTATGTAAGTAAAGACTAACCAGTCACTTTGGAATTTGATTCTAGCCCTAGCTGTAGATAGCTACAGCTTTTTGTCGTTTGCAGTGTGGCCCCTGGGGGCCACAAGTGAAATACTTTGCTGTGGAGTTTTGCGTTCGTCTTATTTTGTCGTTGTGCTCTGGTTACAACTACCTGGCGGCGTTTCTACTCCTCACCAAGTGTCGGAGTTACAGGTACGCTTTCGCATTCTTCCGTAACTCCGACAGTGTGTGGTTCGATTGGACGCTGAATCCCATCTCGCTTTCCGGGGAGAGTTCTTGTCTCCCCATCAGCAGTCTTGAGAGGCAGGCGTGGAACACGTACGCCGCCACCTCGGGTCCATCAGTCTATGAGCGACAGATTTGTTTTTATAATGTCAAGTAGCGGACGAATAAGTCGTCCGCCCGATGGTAAGCTACTCGGCTGTCCATAACAGTATCTGTGCCCTTCAAAACCGGAAAACAGTAAGGCTGACATTACTGCTAGGCGGCAGAAATAGGTAAGGTGGCAAACTTCCCTGGATGAACTCTTAAAAGTCTCCAACACTCTAGGGGAATGTTAGAAACTTTTAAAGTCTTCTGCTCTACTGCTACTAATGTTAATGTAACTTAACCCAACCCATGTAGAGTAGATTTTTGCGTCAAGAAATATTTCTGCGTTTATATACCATTTTGAATATTAATGCACTGGCCTCAAGAACTCATGACACATGTTTGTGAATAATAGTGATAAAAAAGCACGAGAAAATGATTTTCAGTTAATTGGATAAATTTTTTGAAATAATGGAAAATTTTGTTATATCGTCAAATACATTTGATATACGTGTTACCAACATTGTAAAAATTTTGTGAAGCAAGCATGACAGTTATATAGTAATAAATGACAGTAATTTGGAAAACTTGTAGTTATTTTGTGTTAAACGTGACGTTTAGTAGTTATTTCGCCCTTTATGTCACAAAACATGTTTTATTTCATAGAACACTAAACTGCTATGTAAGTTGTTGTAAAATAAATTACAATGCAGATTATTTTAATGCTAATTCTATCATGACAAATGTCCAGTATCGGAGTAAAGAACATACTTTTCAAATGTGGCTTCCTTTTTTTATAACGAATATTTGTATTGGTGGATACCAAGCTCAATGGTCACTACTGCGAAGGTCGGTTAAGAGCCTGGAGATTTTGTAGTGACAACTTCATTTTTTTTTTCTTATTTATTTATTTATTTACTTATATACATTTTTACATTCGTTTATACGACACTGAAACCCTTGAGGGGTTTAAAAGTGTATCACGTCTGACAAATTTGACGTTGGATAACAAATCTAATACTAAACTAAACACTAAACACTTACATTTACATACATACATATAACATTCAAGGATAAACATTTAGGTGTGCATACTCCATAGTCAACCTCATCGTCACTTTCCATTACGTGAGATGGAGGTCAAATGCGCACTAGTATTTAATAAAAAAAAATCAAATTCTTATTCTAGCCATACGAAATGGTTTCCTCCTTTCATGAACTGTTTTCAAGGGCAACGATTACAAGGTGCTTTTTACAAAGGCACTATGAGTCACTTATTATATCTACCCATTGAGTATACCTACCGAAATCTATAACAAGTACGTGCGAAGCATTGAATACTGAATGAAAAGGAAAGAAAATGCTATCGGATATTCGGTATGTGTATGTCCGTAAATATAGCAAAACTAACATGTGTTGTGCAAGTTTTAAATACAATTTCATTTATAATTAATAGATTTAGGGGGGACTCGTTTACCGTCTCACATCGGTCCGAAATAATACCTGTCAAATAAGTAATATTCGACCAATTTAAAATACGCATGACGCGAACGAAGCTTCATACTTTACATTGTCTTTTTTTATTTGGTCGGGTATTACTTATTTGACACTATGGTTTCGGACGTATGTCGGACGGTGAACGGGAGTGGATACCCAAGACGTCACTTTGCAGAAATCCATGTTAATAAAAATGGAAGTTAAATCATGCAAAATAGCTGTGTTTGTATTGAATGCTTTTTTCATGCAGTTAATTTTCCCAGTCTCCCTTCGCAAAAAATTGAAACACAAGCGACTTTCAATCGAACAGATTCATCGAATGAGAGTCGTATAATCAACCCCTAAGGATGCCTCGGAGAGAGGCGAAACACGTGACGGGTTTAATTTTGGTGGTGGTATTTGTGACTGTAGTGCAGCACGATTTTGTTTTTATTTTTTGTTTTTTAAGGCACACACTTCTAACACCGCCACAAACTATAAATAGATCCACCTACTATATATTATCCTTAAAGAGGTCCATTGTACCACGATTTCGTTTAAGTAAGGTAAACGATTCTTTTATGGGGAACTGTATACCTTTTTACATTAAGATTCCGGAGCATCTATTAAGTATATTAACTCTATATAATCTAGTATATAAAATCTATTAAATGTAATTCAAAACTTACATTAAAAGTATTTTAATTGAAAAGTCATGTTACAAAATTGTAGACTACATGTTAGATAAAGATGCATGGAAAGACAACATGAGTCTAGATTGCACTCATATATGATTCAAAGTGTATTCTACAGCATTTAAGTTTATTTGAAAAGAGCAATCCCTAGAGTTTCTTTTTCGTTCTTCTCAGGGAAGTCGACACAGTGAACGAGGAGTAGTTAAAAAAATTATGTTTTCAAGTGTAAACATTTTACATATGACATAAATTTCACTTTAACTTTGACTAGAATACAAAAATATTGTTATTATTAACGAATAAAAACTTCTCCCATGTTTTACAAATTCTAGTTTTCAACAAGGATTACGAAAATTACCTAAGTTTCTTATTTGCTTAATAGTTTTCGAGCAATGAAACATTGTTTAAGCTTGGGACATTTAATACTGAAAATGTAAGATTCCGCGAATTATGTGCCTGGGAATGGACACTTTTCAATATCTATACAATAAAATACGATATACAGCGTTCATAAATCATAGACGTTTTCCAAACCTATAAATAATTGTAGAGTCTTCTATGTGAGTGATGTTGTAGTTATCACTGCAAAGCAACAACACTATAATATGTTATATAAAGAATGGAGGGGTCAAGATTTTAGAATGCTGAATACGCCATTCTGTGGGCGTGTTTCAATTGAACGCACCACAGAACATAAACACATAATTACAAGGACTGCATGACATTACGTTATTTAAACAATTGTATGATGCACAATGTAGTTTCGGTGAGTTATGCAAAAAATTACACGCACTTGCATTATATGTTAGGCTATATGTAGAAAAGAATAGAACGGACTAGAATATCATTATTTAGCTCAGTGCAATATTTTGCTTGTCACAAACAAATGCGGAAGCGAAACGCTTCGCGCGAATCCTGGGAATATCCACAACAAAGGGATGGAACCCCAGCTTACGTCTAGTCCCCCGATGATGGAAAGGGGAAGGGGAAACTAAGTAAGAAATTTAAAAAAACCCGCTTATAGGAGGTTGTAGATCTCTTTTGCTGATTTCAGATTTGTTAGTAAATCTATTTTGCTAAAAATGTTACGCTGTAAGGGCGGCAGAATAGATGTTAAAGTAAAGGCCCCCCATATACGGGACGATTTGTCTTCACGATCCATCGTTTCAGATGGGTCGAAACGATGAATCGATAATGCGTGGTTATGTTATTAACGATTAACTTGAAAGCCAGAGTGGTAGCGACGGCTCTATACGATTATCATGACGATATATCGAAACGAGGAATCGTTTGTATATGGGAGTTTTAATACAGTCTACCTGCCCCAGTAGGAGATAAGCGTGATAGTAAGTATGTATGTAATAGTGCTGGCTAAATAAGGGATACTGACTGCCTGAAACTGGTGACCGCTTGTGTCGGTGCTGAATGTCATGCAGTTGTCTGAAGGAGCCGTTGATGCGGTGAAGGGCTACGTCATGCGGCGAATTGAATATACGTCCTCCGAGGCCCAAATTATCCAACAAATGCTCGAAGCCCTGGAAAAATTTTAAATATAATGTACTACGCTTTGTTAGTTTGTTGTAATAGTACATATAAGTCCTTGGTAAGGGCTGACTATGGGCAGGTACTAGCAACTAGGAGATACGCGCCTTTAATATAAAATAGTATGAGAATACTGACCATTCTCTACGTATTTTATATCTGGAAATAAATTTTATTATAGGTAGGTACTTTATAATGTAGATAGTATGGAGAGTTGCTGTTCAGTTGATATTGTTATGTGTTCTGTTTTCTATTGTTGTGTATGGTAAATTAATGGTTTAGATGAGAGTACAATGGAAAACAAATATTTTTCTTTTGATCTGGTAGATATTATTTCTGTGACTCTAGTTAGTGAAAAGGGGTACAAGTACAAAAAGCCAACTTTACAAGGAAACGTGAAAAATACTTAACGCTTAAAATCACATTAAGCTGTTTATCGCGTCTCCTTGTAAAGTTGGGTTTTTGAACTTGTACCCCTGTTTACTATAGCCACAGATTTATTCCTAGAAAAGCTCTAGCACGAAAGTATTATAAGTCAAGTGGCTATGTGATCATCGAGTCAATATACACATACATACGTTAGTTTAACTTTTTCATGGACAGTATATTTCTTGTGCAAGTGTTTATGTTGATTTAAAAATAAATGTTCAATGTATGTAAATTATGGAATTTTGTAAGTACATTGTTGATACTTCTCTGCGGAGAATTAGACGACAACTACACAGAATGCACTTAGAAATCGCTTTGTAAACTCTGTAGTTGGTTTTTTGAGATCCATATAGCGATACTGGGTACCCCGATTATTATATTCTATTAATTAACTTAAAGTTAAATATTAGTAAACGCTAACTCCCCATGAACGGGTTAAAAAGTGCATATCCACCATTGAATGGCGTCAAATTGTATTTGTTAGGTAATAAATTTAAAAATATTTTTGTTATTATTTCTTCACTATTACATGACTACAGGACTGTAGCATACCATCAGATGCACGACTTGTTCGTCCCACACTAGATATTTAAAAAAAACTTAGGCGGAGGGTATTATATTCATAGGCAGATTTTTTTCTCCAGTACTCCAGTTTTTCAACTGTTGTTTTGGAAATTTTAATATAATATGTGAACGCTTAACGAGCAAGTACGGTAGATTGTAGCAAAAGTAAGTAGCTTGAAGGAATAATGTATTTTTTTTCTTTGTTTAATGTATACATTTTACAAAGGTTAAATACATGCAGCTGTTCCTCAAAAACCACTGAGTGTTTCGTGCACAGTGATTGGCTCTATTTTCAAGTATTTTCTTTATTTTGTTTACATTTCCCTTCCACATACGAATATTGAATGCACGCAGTCAGTCACTCAGTAATTTAGGAATTGTATAATCTAGTTTTTCAGCACAATACACATTATTTCTAGTGAGAAGAAATTTCTTAGTATTTAAGATTTTTTATTTTTTTGATCTCTGGTATACAGATATATTTTGTATATACATATATCTACAATTCTATATCCCACTGCTGCGCACGAGTCTCCTTTCAGGAGAAGCCATAGTCCGCCACGCTAACCCAATGCGGTTTGGGGACATCACACGTTTTCAGAGGGTTGTGAACCTTCTTCGACGTGCAGTTTTCATCACGATATTTTTCCTTCACCGAAAAGCTGATGGTACATTTCTAATTCAATTTCGCATACAAATTCCGAGAAACTTAGAGGTGTCAGCCCGGATACGAATTCACGGCATCTGCTTTAGAAGCGGTAGGTTATGCTAACCATGCATGGTTTAGATATACATAACTAAGTTTTTGTACATCAAAACAATTGTCCTAATATTTTTAAAATAAATATATAAGTACTTATTATATATGCAAAGCTACAAGTTCCTACTCACTGGCAGAAATATGACGCATACTTTTCGTATGGTGGAAAAAAAATATTTATACCGTTTCAAAAAATACAAGGTGACCTGAATGTGGAAAATTAAAACAAATATCAACAGCCGGCAAAAAGACAGCTGCTTTTTGTTTATGTCACTGCCTACCTTTCATTGTCAATAAAATATTTGTACATGTAAGAATATGTATTTTTCAATATAACGAATATTTATTAATACATGGCGCTATTGTATCTACAATAGCGCCATGTATTAATAAAATTTCTTTCTTTGCATTCTTTTCTCTTGGAAGTTATACCAAATAGGTCAGAAGTATTTTCGGGAAAAATACATATAATAAGACAGATAATCACAGAATAAGGATAACTCTGAGAATACCCAGACCAGAACCAACTTAAAAAGTACTGCCACCTTACCGATTTCTGCCGTCAAGCAGTTACTGTGATCTGGTTTAGAAGGGTAAGGGTGCTGGTGAAATTACAGGCACATGGAACTTGTCAACTTACGTCTCAGGGTGACGGGCGCAGGGGCAATGCCCATAAGATCTTTGCGATTTAAAGCTCTGAATGGCACTGCAGCTGCTATGGACACCAGGTCCGTTACTTGGTATTATAAAAAAAAAAGAAAACCATCGGCTGGTGAAGTTCCGGGTATGTTACATCGACAGCATAAGCACACGCCGTAATCTTAGCCGACCACGCGCCGCAGACCGAGTACACGGCTCGTATCTTGTAGAAATTTATGTGGTGAGAACATAATTGGAAATCCCCACGAGATTTAAGTATCTAATTACAAAAACATAGGTACTAGTTGGCGTTGGCTTATCAATGTCATTGCATGGAATTGCAAAAAGTCAAGATCAAGGTTGCATTGAAAAAGTTAAATGTTTATTACCACCGAATTTGATTTCACCAAAGATAATTATAATCCCTTATATCTAAGTAGGTAGTCAGGACAATTCAAATCAAATTTAATTCGTTACTACGACTAAATAAATTGTTTATTTAAAGTAACACTATATCTATTTAATAATCTTATTTGATGATAACATATTTTTTAACGATATTTTATATTCGTGTATGTATTTTCTTACATTAGGTGATAAAATAATTTAGAAAGTTCTCGAGTTTTCCTTGATCAAACTAACAACTTTGTAAACAAACTTTCCCTTCCTCTTATTAAGTCGTAATAGAGTGCGTCTTTGCATAAATTCCTTTTATTTAGTAGTTTCGCTTTTATAAAAATAAGTTTATTACAAACTTGTACTTAAATACTCAAAAATTGAAATTTTCAAAGTTTCCTATATACTTTTAAAATAAATAAACAAAACACTTTCATAATACTATGTATAATAATGTGTAATAAAATCATTTTGTAATTCGACAAGCAACAATACGAGTAAATACGTTGAGGTGACTATCTCTTAAACTAGCTTCCTAATCGATAAGGAATTAAATGTTAAATAAATTTTATTGCACAATCTCAAGGTGGACCTAGCAGGTAAACAACGCGTCTTAATGTTATCAAACGATTTAATTCCCTTGTTGATGGATACCGATCACCGTTGCATGTAATACGTTCACGTGTTTTAGGACATATTGTCTTCGCGGCTATAATTCTTCAAGCTTCTTACAATAAGTAGATAACACGTTTAGATTAGCGATTTTGTCTCAATATTCTGAAGAGTGGAATGGTAACTAGTTTTTGTAACAAAATTGTACATGGCAAAGTGACTGTACGTCAATTGTGTAATTCGCGAAAGAAGCACGACCTCTTTTTTAACTCGTATCTTTTGTACGTTGCAAATGACATAGAGTTCATTATGCTATGGTTACAAAGACTCCATTCCATTCCGTAGGCAATGTAAATCGAGCCTTGATGCTTAAAATTTAATTTCAAAATTACGTAAAATTGACATCGGTGAGTTATTAAATAAAGGAAATGAACAAGCGGAGGAGCGGTATCATGTACAATGAATATAAGCGCCCAGATACACGAGGAGAAAGTTTTCGCGCGGCCGCCGCGCGGCTACCGTCTAGTTACCACGCCTTCATGTACATTAACAACATTTAAATTCCTCTGAATTAATAAATAAGAATAAATCCGGCGCCGCGTAGACCAAATTCAAGCCAACGTCGCCCGCGTGCTCCGGACGCTCATTTAAGTTAAAACGTAAAAGCTAAGTAAGTAGAGCGTATTTTGCCATGACAGTAGACGCACGCGATCGCTGCGCGGCGGCAACGCGATCTCTATTCGGCGACCGCACGGAGACCGCGCGGGGTGGGCGCGATGAAATTCGTGTCGAATAAAAGCGCCTCTTAGTGTTTATACCGGTCACCTATTCGTATCTTTGCGTACATAATTCTCGGACATACGTAATAAATAATTAATTGAGTGTGAGCTATGAGTGCATGCGTTTAAAAAAATAAATAAAAAAATTTGTAGATAGGATTGTAGATGGTGATGGTTCGTGTAAATCGCGATTATAGTCCCTATTTATCTACATCTATACATATAATATTTATCTACATATGTATGAGTGTGTACAGAACGTTTGTCTAGAGGTTGCATTGGCTTGGGTAAATTTTGTACATAAAAAAAAAGAATATGATATATATTAATTGTTGTAAATGCTCTCACTGATCGATGTGTCTATTGGAGGGACACCTGTATATACCTCCACAATTACACTAGTAAATCTACTCCTGATTCAGTGTTGGCACCACTGAATTAAGAGTGCAGTAGTATTTACTAAAATTTGAAAACTGTTTACGGAATCAGTGCTTACCGGTGTTGGTTACTCGTTTAGTCACTATTTCTAGTTATAGCTATTTACTATTTGTAGTGTGTAACTGTTTGTTGACCCCATCAATAAATTAAAAAGAAAAACTAGAATAACACAGGAAATAAAACATAGGTACCTGTTAAATACAGAATGCGTCAAATTCTTATCGACTATTTTATGCCAATGTGGAGTCAATACAATTATTGAATCACTTTTAAGCAATCTCTATATTTTGGAATAGTTTTTTATTTTCTATTATTTTTCTGAGCAGCTGCGTTATGAATGTGCGAATTATAATCGCCTTTATTAATGTTATTTTTA